AGTACCTAGCTTAGTTTCTTAGCTTCTCAACCAATATATAAAAGTAAAGTTTTCAAAAGGCTTCTGCTGTTTACGGGAATTTTTTTGGCCCTAAAAGCACCTCTCTGATGCCTTCAAGCTAAAAAATTCAACAACACTTTGAAAACAACTTTATTAGAAATGGTCGAATAAAAAAACATATAAAGCTGTTTTGAACGTATTTTTTTGCTCAATTGAGAACTAGCAAGCCCGTCTCCAATAAACACTCGGATCGCAAAAAAATAGTTGTTGTTCTGATCAAGCTATTCAAGCGAGGAAGCATCGAAAAACTAAATAGTTCAGCCATATTGTACATCTTTTTTAAAAATATTGAATTTCACAAAACATATTTCTATTATTTCAAGATATTTCATAAACCGAATCGGTTTACAAAAATTTCAAATTTTTTCCGAGCAGTCTATTCAAGCTATGAAATGTTGAATTAGTTGAAGTTATTTCAAAGGTTGAAATAACTCGCAAAAAATCTAAAATTCTTAAGCAAGCTATACCATCTTTGAAAGTACTTCGAAATACTGAATCGGTTCGAAAACAAAATAGAAACTTTATGTTCTTCTAAGCAAGCTATTTAAACAATGGAAAAAATTAAAGTTGGTTCTTGGACCAATCATTTTGCAAAAAGTTACAGTTTTCCTATGAAAACAACTCAAGCCAAGATTTTTAGAGAAAATTTAAGTAAGTCCATAGAACGAAATAAATTGCGCATAAATTAAATTTTTTAAAAAAAAGTTCAAGCAAACTTTTATGAAATTCGTGGCAAAAAGTTAAATTTCTTTCTTTGTAAACTATTCAAGCTATCAAATTTTAAATATTTTAAATTTTTTCATTGAAGTGAATCGGATAGCAAAAAGTTTTTCCAAACATCAATTCAAGCATTTAAAGGCTCGCACTTAATTAATGCGAGCTTTTAAACGGATATCTTAAAATTGTTATAACTAATTTTGTAGTTTCAAGTAAAAAGTTTCAGGTTTTGGCGATAATCATTCAAATCTCAAAATTGAAAACTTGAGTTTTGGCCTTGACAAAAAAAATTAAGTTTCCAGATTTCGAATTGAGCTTCAGAAAGGCCAAATATATGCATAAAAAAATTGCTTTTATCAATAACCTCCCTATTAACACGGCTACGAAATTTTGAACTAAAAAATAATTCGATTTTTGGGAAAGATTCGTAAAACTGTCATTAGCTTCTAAGTTTGGAGCTTATGGAAGGTTGAGTTTTGGCATTAAAATCACAACGCTAGACTACAATCCCCGTTAGCATGCTATCTCGGCTGTGAATAACTGAATCTTAAAATATTAGGAATATTTCAAGTTTTCAGAAACTTTAAAAATTTTGTAATATTTTCGACATCTTCTTATCTAAGAGCTTCCGGTAGGTAAAATTTTGGCATAAAAGCCATAATCCCAAACTGCACCCTCGATAGTATGCAAGTACTGGTACAAATGTTCGAATTCAAAATGAATTTTTTGTATTGTTCTTGTAGATTTTCAGAAATTTATGCAAGAATTAGAAAATAGTTTAGATGTCCTCAACTAAGACCCTCTGGAAAAATAAGTTTCGGCATAAGAATTGCAACTCTAAATTACACTCGCGCTAGCACTCAAGTACGGTTGCAAAGTTTCGAAATATGAAATATTATTCAATTTTTTTTTCCGAAATTTCAGAAATTTTGAACGTTTTGTAAAATCGTTAGAATGCAAGTACGGCTGAAAAATTGTTAGTATGCCCATACATGGTATGGAAGTAGGGGTACAAAAGTTTGAATTCAAAATAAATTTTTCATATTACTATGATAGATATTGTAGAACCTTTTGAAAGATTCGTTAAAATGTTTAAATCTCCTAAATACAGACCACCTAGAAGAACAATTTTTTGCATGAAAATTGCAACCCTAAACTACACTCGCGTTAGCATTCAATTAAAGTTAGTAATTTTTTAAAATTAAGCAAAAATAACTTTTTCTAAACTTCAGAATTTTTGAACGATTTGTAAAAGTGTCCATTTCTCCTAAGGTACGAGCTGCTAGAAGGTGAAAATTCGGCATTGAAATCACATCTCTAAAGTACATCCGCGTAAGCTTGCAACCAACCCGCACCGGAGTTCCATGGATAATAATCGATTATATTGAATTTTCGTGGTCTGTCTCAATAAATTTCGATAATAATCAATTAAATTCGATTAAAAATGGATTCTAATGAAACTAGTTTTCTATTCAATAAAATCCGAATATAATTCTGAAATCCGAAATTTTGAAAGAAAATGAAACTTGTTTTCGAGGCAAAATAATCCATTTTTAATCGATTATAATCGATTATAATGGACTTTTTCGAGGGGTTATTTATACAATTTTTAATTTTGTTCAAAATTATTTCATTTCCTATTTAGTGCAGTTGCTATGTATTACGTTTCATAAAATGTTAAACTTCAGATTAAAATTTGTATATTTTTTGACTCTACTTTTTTAATTCATCGCAGTTTGTCTAACGCTTCATTCACTGTTTTTCGCCCCCACCCTCC